AGGCAAATCCTCCCCTAAGGTACATAACATAACTTCTATTGACTTTGCGGGATGCGGAACCAATCCTTGAATTTAGTGCCTGAATAGAGTGAAGAGAGAGATGAGGAAAGCATTGCAGGAATAGAGTGCCGCAGAACTAGGTCTCCTGCCATACAATAACAACAACAACAACAACAACAACAAACAAGATACAAAAAGTTGAGCATTCAGCTTACAGCTACCAAAGCGTGAAGTGCTGTGTGATGTGCCATCATCCTCCCAGCCTGGTGGAGGATGATGGCGAGGCCCTCCAGGGCCCAGCCTGGTGGAGGGCGAAGATGAAGCTCTCCAGGGCCCCACCTGGTGGAGGGCAAAGATGAGGCCCTCCAGGACCCAGCTTGGTGGAGGGTGATGATGAGCTCTTCCAGGGCCCAGCCTGGTGGAGGATGATTGTGAGACCCTCCAGGGCCCTGCCTGGTGGAGGGTGAAGATGAGGCCCTCCAGGCCCCCTCCTGGTGGAGGGTGAAGGTGAGGTCCTCCAGGATCCAGCCTGGTGGAGGGCGATGATGAGGCCCTCCAGAGCCCAGCCTGGTGGAGGACGATGATGAGGCTCTCCAGGACCCAGACTGGTGGAGGATGATGGCGACGCCCTCCAGGACCCAGCCTGGTGGAGGACGATGATGAGGCTCTCCAGGACCCAGCCTGGTGGAGGATGATGGTGAGGTCCTCTAGGACCCAGCCTGGTGGAGGGCAATGATGAGGCCCTCCAGGGCCCAGCCTGGTGGAGGGCAGTGACGGGGCCCTCCAGGGCCCAGCCTGGTGGAGAACGATGATGAGGTCCTCTAGGACCCAGCCTGGTGGAGGATGATGGTGAGGCCCTCCAGGGCCCGCCTGGTGGAGAGCAATGATGAGGTCCTCTAGGGCTCAGCCTGTTGGAGGATGTTGGTGAGGTCCTCCAGGGCCCAGCCTGGTAGAAGGCGACGATGAGGCCCTCTAGGGCCCAGCCTGGTGGAGGACGATGATGAGGTCCTCTAGGACCCAGTCTGGTGGAGGATGATTATGAGGTCCTCTAGGACCCAGCCTGGTGGAGGATGATGGTGAGGCCCTCCAGGGCCCTGCCTGGTGGGGGCGGTGACGAGGCAGAGCTTCTTACTGCTTTAGACATATAAGTAAATAAAATGTCCTTGTTTTGGTCCAGAATTAGCTCTGAGTCCGTGAGACCTAGTAAGTAATATAGTAAGTGATCTGTCATTTTTAAAGATTGGAATCTGCATGTTTGCCTCCTAAGCTCTTAATTCTTTACAGCCACATCACACGGCACTTCACGCTTTGGTAGCTGTAAGCTGAATGCTCAACTTTTGTATCTTGTTTGTTTTTGGATGTTCTGCTTTATTATTTTAGGGAAGTTTTGCCTAACACTCTAAAGATTAGGGACCAATTCAGCATAAGGCAGCATCTCAGGAGGTAATTTCAAAGCCTGGCCCACGTTTTTCAGAGCAGATGGCTCCTCATTAAGTGCTCATAGGATTCCGGCCTTGATGATACAAGTTCCTTGCAATCCTGTGCACCAGAGGTGACAACTTTCGCCATTTCTTCCTGGAGTTTGGCCCTTCGATTCCCTCTTGCTCTTCCTGATAGGAATCACCTTTCGCAGGTCCTAGGGCCACCAATGTGTTCTTCTCTTGCTAGACATTGTGTTCTGCAGTCTTCAATGGAACGTGCTTCCCTTGTTGTAGGGGATAGGGTTTTGAACTGTGTTATGTGCTTCGAGGACTTCCAAAGGGAATCAGACAGCAGAAGGCAAGCAGCCATTTCCAGGAGCTCGGTAGGGACCTTTTATGAAGATTGGGGAGTCCTCCTGAAACACCAAGGGAGAGTTATCTACATACAGAAAGTTATATATTCAGAAAGTTATTGTGTCATGCTGTAAATCAGCCTTACCGCAACTAGATACTCTTTCTGGCATTTTGGCTTTCAATTCATCTCCATCCCAGTGATCAGAACAAGGGCTGATAGTTGTTGTCCAGAAGGAGGGCTTTATGGCGTGTCAGAAAGATGTCTACATGGCAGTCAATTCTTCCATAAAGGACCTATTGAGCTTGTTATATTATTCCTATTGGAATAAACACTATGTCACAAAATTTGAAAACCTTTCCTGGTTTGAAAGTGTTCTTTTCTGTCTAATTCTGCAGTTCTTACTTTGCAAGTAGTTGTAATACTCCAGAAAAATTGTTTTTGTGGCTGCCACAAACAATGTCAAATTGGTCGAGACTCTAGGACAGTGATTCTCAACCTTCCTAATGCCGCGTCCCTTTAATACAGTTCCCCATGTTGTGCTGACTACCAACCATAAAATTATTTTTGTTGCTACTTCACAACTGTAATTTTGATGCTGTTACGAATCTTAATGTAAATATCTGATATGCAGGATGTATTTTCATTGTTACTTCTCTTTCTCCCTGGGATTCGGCTATGGAGGAGCCACTCCACCCATCTCTTAAGTCAGGGGTCCTCAAACTTTCTAAACAGAGGGCCAGGTCACAGTCCTTCAAACCGTTGGAGGGCTGGATTATAATTTGAAAAAAAATGAATGAATTCCTATGCACACTGCACATAACTTATTTGTAGTGCAAAAACACTTTAAAACAATACAATAATTAAAATGAAGAACAATTTTAACAAATATGAACTTATTAGTATTTCAGTGGGAAGTGTGGGCCTGCTTTTGGTTGATGAGATAGGTTTGTTGTTGTTGCTGTTATGTGTGCTTTCAAGTCATTTCAGACTTAGGTTGAACCTGAGCGAGGGCCGGGTAAATTACCTTGGAGGGCTGTATCCGGCCCTCGGGCCGTAGTTTGAGGACCCCTGTCTTAAGTCCTGCACTCCCCCAGGCCCCCTTCCCTAGGCCCCTTCACCTTCTTCCTTATCACCTCCACCTCCTCTTCCTCTTCCTTCCTCTTCCTTTTTGGCTCCAAAGCAAACCTCACCTCCATTGCTCCTATCTCTTCCTCCTAAAATGGCAGAGGGGACGGAAGGGGTGGGGCTGAGTAGTATCAACACCTCCCTTCAGGAAGCGAAGGGGATTGGAAAAAGTTAGTGGTGACTTGGTTTCTTAGACCATTGGAAATATGTGTTTTCTGGTGGTTTTAGGCGACCCCTGTGAAAGGATCATTCGACCTCCAAAGTGGCCGCGATCCTCAGGTTGAGAACCGCTACTCTAGGAGATATCCATTGAAAAACTAGAGCAAGATGTACTATAGCAGGATGTCTCTCCCGCAGAAACAAAGTTTTTGCAGTTTCATAAACCTTTTCCATGTTTTTGTGATAGAACCAATTAGGAAATGACATTGATAACCCAGGAGCAAAAAATCGTGTAATCGAAAGAACTCTTCCTCCTTTTTCTCTCATATCCTGGCAATGTCTGATTTGTGACACATTTTTGACAGATACCCTTTGAATATGTCTAGAAAAGGCTCAATTCCTCTTCTCTGTTCCTGTTGTTCCCTGTTTCAGTGTTACACAGAGAGCGGCAAAACAGAGAGGAAAGGGGTTAGTTGAGAGGTGGCCCGAGAGGTAGACGTTGTTCCCCGCATAAAGGAAACGGGGGTCAAGGGGAAGGCTGTCTTCACGGGACCATGTTCCTGTGCCTCAAAAAATAGAAATACATCTCTCCCAGAATCTCAGCTCTTAAACATCCTCAAAAGTAAAACAACACCAAAAGCATCTCACAATATGGAGTTCAGTAATTGTTTGTGATGTCAGTTGTCATTTGGAGGTAAAAGGAGGAAAATATTTCCAGTGGACTAGCTTCCTATGAAGCCACGTTTTCATTTTTCTTAGTCTGGAACCAGGAATTGTCCGAGAAATATGCTTTGTATTTGCATCAAGTCTCATGGAAAAGGTCCTCTGATAACTGTATATGTGAGGGGTGGCAAATCTATCTGTCTTTATCAAAGCAAAAGTATGTCTTCCTGTCTGTTTGAAAGGTGAGCTGCATCCTAGGGGAAAGGAGAAAGGAAGGAAAGAGCCACAAAGAGAGCTACGGAGACATTGAGAGGTCGGCTTCTCAGAGCTGGAGGAGGACAAAGGGGAAGGAAAGGAGGAAAGCAAGAAAGCTAGAGAAAAAGAAGGGCAAGGAGGGAGAAGAGAGGGCAGGGGGAGAAAGAAAAAGGAGGGGAGGAAGGAAGAGAAAGGAATCAAGGGGGAAAGGCATGAAACCTAGCATTAGAGTTGGGAAGGCCTGGGAAAAAATGGGGAAAAATAGCGGGAACTGGTATTTCCCAATTTTCCCCCAATGTTTTCCAGGTTTTTCCATTTTCCCGGGTTTTTCCCAGGTTTTTCCTGGGTTTTTCCGTTTCCCCTCAATTTTGCCAGGTTTTTCCGTTTCCTCCCAATTTTTCTAGGTTTTTCCCAGGTTTTTCCGTTTCTCTCTAATTTTGCAGGTTTTTCCATTCCCCCCCCCCATTTTTCTAGGCTTTTCCCAGGTATTTCCCAGGTATTTCCATTTCCCCCCAATGTTTCTAGGTTTTCCACAGGTTTTTCCATTTCCCCCCAATTTTTCCAGGTTTTCCCAGGTTTTTCCATTCCCCCCCCCCAATTTTTCTAGGTTTTTCCCAGGTTTTTCCGCTTCCTCCCAACTTTTCTAGGTTTTTCCCAGGTTTTTCCATTTCCCCCCATTTTTTCCAGGTTTTTCCATACCCCCCCCCCATTTTTCTAGGTTTTTCACAGGTTTTTCCGTTTCCCTCTAATTTTGCCAGGTTTTCCCAGGTTTTTTCCCAGGTTTTTCTGTTTCTCCCCAATTTTCCCAGGTTTTTCCTATTTTTTCCCATTCTTGCTCCCTGCCTCAAATCCCCCCGGGCTTTCTTCCCATCTCTACCTAGGATACATTTGAAAGGAACAATGGTTGCACAGAAAGAGAGAATTTGTGAATAATTAAGCCCGTGTCTTTCTATGACCAGGTCCATGGGACTTGACTGCTTGAAGGGATAGTTAACCCAGTTGTCCCTCTTTTGTGTTGACAGAGGGAGCTTGACGCCACAGCGACCGTCTTGGCCAACCGACAAGATGAAAGTGAACAATCGAGAAAGAAACTTATTGAACAAAGCCGCGAGTTCAAGAAGAACACTCCAGAGGTGAGCTGCAGGGATGCTAATTGTACGATATAATATAATATTATAATTGATAATATAATAATTTAATACAATATAATACTAATAATAATATGTTATCAAGAATTCAATGACTGCACGTTGCTTAAGTCGCATTGACCGACCGTCTGCACAGGGTTCCATACTTCACACTTTAACAACACAACCGTTCAATGCTAAGGCTTCCCACCAAAATGGAACTGTAGAGGAGAGTCTACTGAACAAGCCAGTACCTGCCGCATACCAGTACTGCCATCTGTTGAGGAGTTAAGAAGGTGGAGGCATTAGTTTCATTCAACCCTCGTATATATGTATTTCACATTGGCTACTGTGGAAACGAGTCCTGCATGCTTGATGTTTTGCTTGAAGGAGATGCGGAACAGTTGGCCATATGAATCATGAGCCCTTTTGCAACATTGCTCCTCCTGCAGTGCGTTATGCTAAGCTCCTGTGACCCGTTTGAAATGTGAGAGATTGACAGCATGGTGCAGTTACCTCATTGCGTTATCTCCCTGCTTTTATCTGGATTGCATGAGGTCGGATTACGGTCTCCATGGCTGGAGGCTACAGGTGATTGGCTTTTCCACATGGCCTGGTTGTTGCTTGAGGTGCTGAAGCCAGTGTGCCGATCCTCACTGGGACCCCCTTGACTGGCTTGTGCCAGAGTCTTTGCAGTTCGATCTTTAAATCCTCTTCTTCTTCTTCTTATTATTATTATTATTATTACTATTATTATTATTATTAATGTATTTCTTGCCTGCCTCTCCTCGTTGCTCTCAAGATTGTCAACATGCGCTTCAGCGGTTTAGCTGTAGGATGTTCTGAAGTCATCTCAGCTTCCGGGTACAAGTCATTAAACGTTCTCGTCTTGAACGGTGTGACAAAAATGTCACAGCCTTCACTGCAGTTTTTGCCTCAGAGCCATTCCACCGAATGTGCAGAGCTACCCTTGCGCCTCCTCACTGAACCTAGCCATCCCAGTTTGCCCTGGTGCTGGCAGGCATTGTGGGCCCAATGGGCAGCTGGTATCTGCGTGAGCCCCTTGAGAGCATTTCCCTTTCATGTATTTGTCCAGGTTGGTTGCTTGGTTTCTCTTGGCATCCTGGCCATCTGTTGGGGGTGCTTTGAATGCTATTTTCCTGCTTCTTGGCAGAATAGGGTTGGAGTGGATGGCCCATGATCTCTTCTGACTGATTCCTCAGTGCCGATGCCCAAAGAGCCTTCTCAAAATCTCTTGCCAGGACATTGGCATTGTTATTATTACATTTATTATTGTACTCTATTTTTATTATTATTATTACATTTACATTATTTTACTCTATTATTATTTTTATTACATTTATTATTTTTCCCTATTCATTATTGTTTTTATTACATTTATTATTTTACTTTATTATTATTACATTATTTATTTGTTTATTTATTTATTTACGGCATTTATCTGCCACCTTTCTCACACCGAAGAGACTCAGAGCAGCTTATAATATATATATATATATACACACACACACACATACATACAATATATTATATTATTAGCACAGTACAATATCAGTATTATATATTACTATATTGTACTATACCATTATATTGTAATATTATTAATAATATTACATGTAATATAAAATGTAAATTATAATCATATATATTATTTTACTCTATTATTATTACATTTACATTATTTATTATTATTTTTATTACATTTATTATATTACTTTATTATTATTATTACGTTTATTATTTTCCCCTCTTCATTATTGTTATTATTACATTTATTATTTTACTCTATTTAATGTTATTATTATTATGACATTTATTATTTTCCTCTCCTTATTATTACTGGAAGGATACATAAGCACATTTACATTGAAGAAGGTTATAATAATGTTTCAATCAGGGTTGAAAACTTTGAACCTGCTAATGCCTCAATTCAAGTAATTTTATTGGCACCTATTTTTATTTTGAAACTAGCTGTCCCCTGCCATGCATTGCTGTGGCCGTCTGTGTATCTGTGTTTTGTGTGTGTGTATGTGTGTTTGCGTATATATATATATGTGGTCTTGTGCATGCGTTGTAATGTATTTTTTTGTTTTTTGGCTGTTTAAGCCTCTTCTGCTGTGTTTTTCAATGTTTTTATGAGTGATGGTCACTCATTGGCCTGATAGGTGTATTGTGTCCAAATATGGTGTAAATTCGTCCAGTGGTTTTTGAGTTATGCTAATCCCACAAATGAACATTACAATTTATTTATATAGATTTACCAGTAGCTGCTGCATTTCCCACCCTCGGCTTATACTTGAGTATATGCAGCAATTGTTTTTTTTATTCAACTCAATTGTTTTGAATGCAATTTTTCTTATTTTTCACAATCCCACCACATATGGATAAATCCTTTGATTCCACCACATTTTGTGCCAGCATCATTTTGATGCAACTGGGACCAACTCTTGAGAGGATGCACTAGCTGGAGAAAGCCAACCTGCTGGCCGGAGTGGCCATAGATGCCTGTGCTTTGGCCTTGTTTGGGCTCTTCTGAAGGCAGACACATCCAGTGTATAGTCAGCACACGTTGTTGGCCTGGAAGCCGGCAAATTGGGCGATTTCATCAGCCGAGCCTCCTTCCCCTGGAGGACTGGTTGCCTTATCTGATGCCAGAGATCTATCTCTTCCAGGGGTAATGTTTCATTGTCTTGGTAGCTTATGCCAAGGGACTCATCACTCAACAACTCGGAGGAGAAGCTTGAGTATGATTGCTACCAAAACCCTGTCTTGGCTGAACTGACGACTTATTCAGAGGTGCTTCTTGCCAAGTGGCCTCCTCATTTTTGCAAGCCGTTTTGGCAAGTGAGCCCGGCCCCGTCTGTTGCTTCACTCGGCACTTGGGAGAGTTCATTCAGATCATTGTGAAATGTCTCCTGCCACAGATGATGGGAAATACATTTTCTTTCCCCTTTTGTAGGGTGACAGGTTGGATTTCTGGCAGCCCTGTGCGATGTTCCCCCAAACTTCCTTATGTAATACCTAGTCCGATAGATAGATAGATAGATAGATAGATAGATAGATAGATAGATAGATAGATAGATAGATAGAAAGATAGATAGATAGATAGATAGATAGATAGATAGATATAGAATAGAACGTAGAACAGGTATGGGCAAACCCAGGCTCGGGGTTGGGCTCTTTTCTTAGGACCTCCCCTCTCTCACCATCCTATCCTTCCTTCTCTCTTTCCTTCTTCCTTCCCTCCCTCTTTCTCCTTCCCTTCTACCCTTTTGTCCTTCCTTCCTTCCTTCTTCTCTTTCCTTCCTTCCCTCCCTTCCATACCTCCCTCTCTCCTTCCTTCCTTTCACCCTTCCTTTCCTTCCTTCCCTCTTTCCTCTCTCCTTCCCTCTCCCCTTCTTTTCCTCCTTCCTCTCCTTCCTTCCTTCTTCCCCTTCTTCCTCCCTCCTTCCTTCCTTCCTTCCTTCCTTCCTTCCCTCCCTCCTTCCTTCCTCCCTCCCTTCCCCTCCCTCCCTCCTCTCTCTCCTTCCTTTCCCTTCTTCTTCCTTCCTTCCCTCTTCCCTCCTTCTTTCCCTCTCTCCTCTTCTTTTCCTTCCTTTCTTCCTTCCTTCTTCCATCCTTCCTTCCTTCCTTCTCCTTCCCTTTTGGCTTTCCCTCTTTATCTTGCCTCCTCCTTTCCTTACCTTCCGTTCCCCTTCCATCCTTTCCTTCCTCCCTTTTGTCCTTCCTACTCTCTTTGCTGGGATAGAAGATGGGGTGTGCAAAACGGCAGAAATCCATTCTGTTTTCATTTGGAAATTCAGGGCTGTCCGTTCCCTTCTGTTTTTGGGAAAACAGAACTCCGGATCCCTAATTCTGAATCCCCCTTCCCAATCTCCCAGAATCTTCCTGAAAACAGAAGGGAAACAAATCCGATTTCTGCTGTTTGGCACGCCCTGAGAATAGAACAGAGTAAGTGATTGCCATTGTACACAGTATAACGAAATGACGAGATCGAAGGAGAGAACATGACAAAGGAAGCACCCCGGGGGTCATGGGTTCCTTGTGCTTGAGAGGGGTGAATGGGAATGCGAGTGAAGGAAACCCTCAGGGTCACGGCACACGTGAGGGTTCCGATCTTTCTGGAGGAGGCCTTCTCTCCGTCTGTACATTAGGTTCTGTTACATAACGGTGACATCATGCGCTTGGATTTCTCTGCAAGTTCGTCACTTGCCTATCAGGCTTAATTACAGGGTGCTCTGGCCATTTCAGGAGGAAGCCTGCCTAAAATGGAGACTGTGCTCAACGTCTAGGGGAGCGGGGAGGGCGTGAATGGGAAACAGCCATTTTGGCCTGCATCAGTACGGGCCTAGTGTCAAGATCCAGGGAAGTCATGCTCTCCATGCTCTATTCTGCCTTGGTTAGACCACACCTGAAATCACACTGTGTCCCATTCTGGGCACCACAATTGAAGAGAGATATTGACAAGCTGGAATACATCTAGAGAAGGGCAACTAAAATGATCAAAGGTGTGGAGAACAAGCCCTATGAGGAGCGGCTTAAAGAGCTGAGCATGTTTAGCCTGCAGAAGAGAAGGCTGAGAGGAGACATGATTATTTATTTCATATCAAACACATTTTATAAATTAGTATAAAACCAATAAAAATAGAAGGAGTGCAGGTGGCTAAATATCTTTTGATCAAAAACGGGCAACAGCAATGGCATAGTCTGTAGCCTCCAACAATTTTTCCTCTGTACATGAGGCAGGGCATAGTTGACAAGCATACAGATGCGGAGTTGTCTGTTCTCCTCCAGACACATAAGGCGTGGGATTCTTTTAGGTAGTGCCATTTTTCCAGGTTGTCTTTTGATCTGCCCGCTCCACTTCTGAGTCTGAGACATAATAAGGGCCATGTGTAAATATGTGAGAGGAAGTCATAGAGAGCTTCCTTTCTGCTGCCCTGGAGACTAGGACGCAATGGAGCAATAGCTTCAAACTCCAGGAA